CTAGTTAGTTGATTTCCCTTTTTTTTTTTTTTTTTTTTTTTTTTTAAACAGATGCCCAGTGCATGACTTAAAGATAAGTGTTCTTGGTATTAGGCATTCACTACCCTGAAATCCTTTATAAGAGAACTGAAGTTGTATGTTGCATGTTAGTTTATGCATGAAGTTTCTGTAGTTACAAGATTCAGAGTGTAAAAACAAATGTTAAAAATAAATTTTTAAAAGTACAACACAGTAATTAGTTTTGTAATCTAGATCAGTGCAGCATAAGTCTTAATCCTTAAAATCTTTATGCAACAAAAATTGCCATTTTAAAACTTTTGATCATATTTTATGTGGAAATGAGACTTAAGTGTTTAAGTTACTTGAAACCAATGGGATTTAATGACTTCTGAATGTTGGGTGAGTTCATTTGTTTTCATCTGAAGTGTGCTGCCTTTTACGTCCTTCAAGAAAGCACATTTCCAACACATGGCTAGTGTAAAACATGTTAATGGAGCAGTGAAGTTGTGAAACTTCTCTCAACTTTATGCATACTTTTACTTGGAATTATTTGGAAGGTTACTTTAAAATATTATGTTTCTGTTTATAGTATGTCTTAACTAATATAATGGCTGTAATGATACTGAAATAGAAGGGGGTAACATACCTCCCCCAATGTGCACTCACAAATTGAGCTTTAAAAATAGAGGTCCCTTTTCTGGTAGGATGACACCATTCAACTTCACAATGATCATATTATATAATGTCTTTACAATCTTTTTCTGAAAATGACAAATTTTAAGCCTGCCATTCAACTAGTGACTTTTGGTCTAAGTTTTACTAGTCTCCCCCAAAGTTTCTGGGAAGGACTCTTTCCTTGTGTTCTTACAACATCTTTTGATTAAAACATTTTTGTATTGTCCTAGCCTTGATATTTTTATGGAAGACTTTGATCGTGTAAGTAATTGTCCAGTTTGTATGTCTAATTCCTATATTGTATAAGTAGTTGGTCATAATTTTTTAACCAGGTTACTTATAAATGCAGTATGGGGCTGCAGTCAGTGAGTTGATTCTAGGTTAGACTATTGCTATTCAAGTACATGGGAAGAAACACTTAATCTTTCTGTATAACTGAAGTACGTGTGAAAGAGTGGCACCCAGTGGCTAAACTACCTTAATCCTTGTCGGGTTTTTTTGATACTGCATTGTCTTTAAGTAGCAGGTTGGACTTGAGTAAGGTGAGCAAATGAGCTTCACTTGCTTTGCAAGCATTGAACAAATTAAGAATAAAAACTGCTGTGACTGCAAGGTCCTTTATCCATGCTGGCTGAACACTTTTTAGCTAACATACACTGACAGAAGGAAATAATAACACAACTATTCTAGTGCCCTGCCTTCTGCTCAGCCTCAGACTAACATGGCTAATTCTTTCTCTATTCTTGTAGAGTTAGTGCAGTTTTTAACAGAAAGCTGTCAATTTGAATTTGCTAACTTGAATGTGATGTAATGAGTGGTGAAAGGGAAGTTTAGAGGAATAAATGTAGGTAACTTCTATTTATAAGGTACTTTATTAGCTCTTACGTGCAGAAGAGGTTGTCATTCTTCATGAGAATACCATGAACAATTAAAATCTAAAGTCTGAAGAGAAATCAGTGAAAGGCTCTGGAGGTGTCAAGGTTGTTTGCTGTAGTCAGCTAACTTCCTCCATGTCTGGGTGAATTCATTTTAAAATCTACAGATACCATTTCAGACTTTGAATTGCTGCCTACTGCAGCTAGTGTACTTATCCCAGCCAGTTATCTCCTGTGTCTCCCAGGTGCTTAAACCTCCAGCTGCTTTGATTTTTGTCTTGCATATCGCATGCTGAGAATTCAGATGGAGCTTGATAATTTTAATAGCAAGGAATGCTGCACTGACTGGTGTTCTCTGTACGCAAGTCATTCACTTACCTTTGCAGTTGTTAGCCTGCCTTCCTGAAGATAAGTTTGAAATAGTTGGGAGGCAGCAATACATTGTGGGAGTGAGGGAGAATGCTTCTGAAGTGGAAAACAAACCTCATGCTTTAAGCAGGTCTTGTTGCTTGTGGGGTAAATTCTGGGGCAAGGCTAACTTTAACTTGCACATGGCTGGGGGTCCTCACACTGTATCACCCGCATGCTGTGAAGCCAGGCCCCTTGGGATCCTTCCCCGGCTGTATAGGCAATGGCAATAGCACACAGCCCCCAGGCCCCTTCTTCTTGCACAGCTGAGAGAGAGATGGTTGCAGAGACCTGTGGGTTACCAGCCGGACAGCCCTGCTCTAGGATAGTGAGTGTCAAGTAGGACGCTGTGGACCCTGGAGTGCTGCGAGATCCTTTTAAGGACAACTTTCAATAGGAGCACTGTTAGGTGTGCAAACACAGGGTTCACAAGGTAAACCCAGAGATTTCAAATAGGAATCCTCTGTGTCAAAAGCATTCTGACCCATGGTCTTTCTGAGGTTTTTACAACGTAAGAATTACTGTATTTTTCTGTAGTCAGCATTTTTTTTCTGGTATTTTTCTGATGTCATCCAAGAGATGCCTTGATTTTAAGAAGGTTAAGGGGTTGCTTTAGTGGATGGGGTGATAGGTTTTAGTACACAGCCAACAGCTGTGTACATGCATTTAACTGATAGCACTGACATTGGCACACACAAAGAAAAATGTTTGGAAAGCACCTGGGGCTGACTTGCATGGAGGTGTTTATCTTTGCCCATTATGCAAGCAAGCACTGATTGTACAGTGGGTTTAGACAATGCCTGGTTTCCGTTCCCTTCAAAATTACCCTTTCTTCTTAGACCATCTCCTGTTCTTGAGTCAAGGATGGACTCTTCTGTGGACTGTTCAGGCTCAAGTTGGTCTTTTTTGTCATCTCTTTCTTTTAACGTATACATACCTGCATGCACAACTAGTCTCAACTTTTTTCATGTGGCTTGCTCAGTATGGTATGATCTGCTTGGGTTCTGGTTTGAATACAGTTGGAACTATGGTTTTTAAAGAAGCACCAGAAAAATGAGTTTGAAATGGGAACATCCAAGATGAATGAAGATGGTGAAGATGAATATTGACTATGCTGCTGTCCAGTGAATAGAGTGCTTCAAGCACCTCAAGCCCACCCACATGGGAAAAGATGGAGTTGGCAAGTCTGGCTGTGATGTCCTCTATGAAGACTTTAGTTGGTAGACTACTGACTTGTTGCTGGAGAGTTCTTCCCCAGGCCTGAAATGATAGCCCTCTTTCATCTTGGGACCTCCAACAGCATGCTAGCCCTGAGGTTTCCCAGTAGGGAATCATTTTAATGCTAACAGATAATACAATATTATTAGAGGGAGTCTGAGCAAGGTGAACTGAATTTAAAATGTAAATTGCCAAGTTGAGGGGGGTGTGGGGGAGGTAGTGCAGCTTGGCTCAGGCCAGGACAGCCTGAGTAAAAGCGTTCTTGGATGAAAAAAAATCAATCCCTGGCTTCCCTGTGCTATAGAATATAAATAAGGGAAGGGGAATCTTCTTTCTTTTATGATCTAACCTAAATTCCTTTCACTTTCTTGGCCAAGTCCCACTTCTGGTAGAGCTGGAGAGTTCTGGACTTACATATGCTGGTCTACAGAAAAGGTAAACACAAACTGAGCTCATGTCTGTGACATACTGGTAGGCAATTCTCTCAGCTCCACCCCCTTTAGCAGCAAGAAAAGCTATTCTGCTGGGGCAAGGATCCCAGAGTTGCCTCCAGCTGTAATGGGCAATGGAAGGAATGTTAAGTTAGATGAGGGGAGGTGGATGTAGCAGTGTAGAGAGGATACTTGCAAACACAATCCCCAAGCATCGGAGTAGGGTGCTGTTGTCTTTAAGATTAACTAGTCTTTCCCCTTCTGCCCCTCCTAAATCTATTGCTTTGGCCTCAGTCAGAAACAGGATTCTCAAGTTAATGGACAATGGTCTAGGAAGCTGCAGGGGATGAGGTAGGTGAGAAGATGCCTCTGGCCCTGGCTGTTCCTTTCACATTGGCTTTTTTTCTTTTTTTTTGCAGTTTTGACAAATACTGACCCATGAGACTCAGGCAAAGAAGGTACGGGGAGTCCTATTAGCTTCTGCTCTAGTAAGAGGCAAACATTTGGGTATGGATATACAGAACATAGCACTACATGTATCAAGGACAGCTCTACTATCCAAACTGGTGTTTACTTCCAAATGCAGAGAAGTAGACAGGCCATGGATTGGTCCTGCTGAGTAACACCAGCAACTGAACAGGACTTGCTGCAATTTTTTCAAGATTCACCTGATAGTCGCAGTATAGGTATATCCAACTCATCTGGTACTAGGGACCAGATGAGGTACATAGGGCCAGTCTATGGGCTGAACCAAGCCCACAGCCTGGCCCTGTGCACTGGCTCCAGCCCTGCATTCTGCATGCACCACGAGCTAGTCCGTATTCATTGTACCATGCACCAAGTCAGTCTAGGGTGTGTGCTACATGTCATATGGGTGGCTGGATCCAGCACACAGGGCTAGTCTTCAGCCCTGATCCAGACTGGCCCTGGGTTCAGCACACAAGGTAGATCTAGTACATCCTAGAATGGCTCTATACATTGGGTGACAGGGCTAGTTCAGAAATCCACAGGCACCACAGTGGGCTGAGTGCTGGGGGTTCCTTGTGCAGCTAGCACCTGCTATTCTCTGCATCTTTTTATTTTGTAAGAGGGAGTGGCTCACAGGGATTTTGTGTGATGAATTTGATCAAACCACCTCCAAACCATCAAAGCATTGCAGAATAATGTAGTTTATTTACATATTATGCAAGATATCATTGGCTTCATCTGAAGCCCTTCTAGGCAAACTTCTCCATTTTGAACACTAAGAGAACAGGGATGGTATAAACCGTGCTGGAGATTTGGCTGGTGGATTCTTCTTATGTCATTTCCCAAGTCCTTTTCAGATAGGGCCTAAGCATTTTGCATTAGCCCTTCAGCTTAATTTATATTCACTAATTAAAAGATTGCAACATCCACAGTACTAGTTTAGATTTTATTTTGATGTTTATCTCAAATATAAAAAGTCAAAATCCTTATCAATCTTTAAAGAAAATCCATGCAAGCATGTCATAATGTTTACAACTTAAGGATTTTTCTCTTTCAGATCTCATTTCTCTAAATGAGAAAGAATTAGCTGTATTTTACTCTCAATTTTTCTCCATAGCCCATTGTTAAATGGGCCAAGCTTGGGTCAAGTTAATGGTGTAAAAAATACCAAGCTAAACTTGTCAGTCCAGGTAATACTTCAGTGTGCTTGTCATGTTAACACACATGCCCTTTTTAATTTAGGTTATTCATTTTAATGAAATTCCAATTTGTATGAATTGCAGTCATTGCACTTAATACCACATGCTTTGTCTTGTATCATTTTTAAAAAACATGACTGCTGGGGGAGAGGTTGTTGGAAGTGGCACAACTGATCAGATTTTTTACAATTCACATCAAGGCAGTTGCTGCTAGTTTAGCACCATGATCTGGTGGGAGAGGTAAAGGGAAAGTTTAAATTCACACACAGAATGCATAAATGTAAGCCATAGGACCACCTCTAATCAACTAAAACCAAATTGGAACAGAGGAGATTATTAGAGAGGGTGACAAAAGGCCAAACTCTTGGGGAAACTGTTTCTATACTTAATCTTTACAGGCACGGATGCAAGTAGGTTATCCTTCATAGCCCAAGTTTTGCAGTATGTTTCTGTAGACTGTTCAATTCAGTTAAGACAAAGAGAAATGCATATTTGCTATAGTGGTTTCCTGTAGCAGAGTCACCCCAGTAACTTCTATAATATTATCAGTTACTGTTTACTGTCCTGTTTCATGGTTTAAATGTTCTGTGCATTACAGAAAGGCATTAGAGGAGGTCAAACAAAAAGCAATATTGGCATTCACTTAGAAGGTTGCATAGAGACTGAAGAAACCTATACAATGAATTGGTATTAAAAAAAATCCATGGAGCACTAGCTGTTTGACTGTACGATGAAAAAAAAATCAAAATATTTATAGGCAATCAACTGAGTTTGGTAGCAATACCAACACTGTACATTTTTTACATTATCAAATACATAATTCAAGAGATACAAAATAAGATCATGCATCACCACCAAATACCTTGTACAAGCTTTTTTAAATTCCAAGAGTCTGAAACAGTTTAGAGATTGAAGCATTTTCATGATCCAGAATGAGAAATTGCCCAGGAATCTTGTACTTTTTATGGATTATATTGTATCATCCAAAGAAAGCTGTCAAAGATTATTAGTTATGCATTCACTTTAAAGTGTTAAAATGACTACTAAACAAAAGTATGAGCATCAATGTATGAGACTGAAAGAGGAAGTTAAATGGCTTATACTAAGAGGCAAACTTGTTCAATCTAAAAACAAGAAAAAAAATCAGGTGTGCCATGACAATACATTAGTTGTAACTGGAATATTGGATGTTCCTTTTTAAAAGGTGTCTGACTTAAATTAAACATCTAGAGAAAGCTTAATAAGAATTTTTTCTAGACCTTCAGTCAGTAGTAGAGATAGCTTAATAAGAATTTTTTCTAGACCTTCAGTCAGTAGTAGAGATGTGATGAATGGATTGTGTTCAGGTCCAGATTGGGGTCAGAGTTAAATGGATTTAAAATCTCACAAGATCAACTGATCATAGTATTTTCATCTCTGGCTGCATCTGAGCTAGATATAGACAACAATCCTTTTTTAGTTTTTCAAGTGACCTGGAATTAGGAACCACAGAGCTGGTTCTGAGCCAGAGATCTGAGAGAAGACACCTAACTCTGAAATTCAGAGGATTGCTGATTTGTGGCTCTCATTTATGCCCACTTCTGATCAGTAATATTTATGCCTCTTCAAAAAGAGCAGTTTTTATGAACCAAAACCTCTAAAACATTAGCCTCTATGGATTAAAAGCATTTGTATATGGCACAAGATTCCATTCATTAAAGAATCAGCTTGTGGCACCAACACTGTTCCTAAAAAAATGTAACAGCACGCAAGTTTAATTTATAGCAGCATTTTACACAATTTGTGTTAAAAAAGTAGAAGTTAGCCATTTGTGTACTGAGTAACAAAATGTTTAAATTACATTTATTTTCCATTTTACACTCACTATTTACCAGTTGGACTATTTACAAAGGTTCAAATGCTATGTAAAAGAATGAGCTTACCCAAAATAGTCTTCACAAGTGAGGCAATAGTTTACCTCTACCTCAGTTTTGGCTGATTAAAGAAAAACTGCAGTTAGCTGTAATGCTTAGCAGGTGTCTGTCTGCACAAGAGAAGAAAATCCTACCTTAATGGCAGCTGCAAGTCAGCTGCAAGAACATATTTGGGACTTGCAGCTAACTTGGCTTTCACCTTTTTTCAGGTGGTAGGCATTTAAAGGAAAATGGTGATTAAAAAAGGGAGACCTGTCAGTGGAGTTTTACCAGCAGGTTGGCTTTCCACTTGGAAATAGTGATGCTGTTAACATTAAAACAAAAGTTAAGAAAAACATTCAAGTACAAACTTTAATTAGGACATTCAGCAAAACCATGAAGAAAGGAAATTTTGGCATACCTCATAAGTGAACACTTCCTACTTCTAGGCCACATAGTACCATTTCCTTTTGCTACCTAGTTTCTCCTTATCAAGATGTCTCCACAAACATTTGCTAATGGACATACCCACAAAGGAACTGGATGGGTAGGTTTTTTTTTTTTTTTTTTTTTTAAAAAAAAGTT